TTAGATTATTCATAACCTAGCAGTCAGAAGTGCACAGTGGGGAACTGCACCATGCACACTGTGTTCAGTACAAATGAAAAATAAAAAAAATCAGTCTTCAAGTATTTTACTACACTTCAGTATGTGATTCTTATTAAGTAGAGGTCATTTTTTAGGATTCTATACTGTAGCTTAAAGTCTCGGAGAACCTGACACCTTGTACTTCTGGAGACTGCAGGTAGGTTGCAGTTCTGGAAAATGGTGAATTAATGTACATTTAATTTGAGCACGTTGTGTTCAGTACAAATGTTGTGGGTACGTTTGAGTCATTACCTAATTTAATTCCTTCACTGAACCAGGCACCAAAACAACACTTGCAAATAAACTGAGCTATATTAATTCTTAGTGAATTTCCCCCACTGCATTTAAAAGAAAATCATGATTAGTATCCAGATGCACGATAATCTTTAGAAACCAAACCACAGTAACTACATCAACACTGAAGCATGAAAAAATATTGAATTCTGACTGATTTGAAATACAATTTCACACTCTGTTCTCTCTGAATCTAAACAAGCCAAACCCATTTGTCACCAGAGCTGGCGTAGTCTGTTACAGATTACATGATGAAAACTGTAGTTAGTAACGTAATCTAGATTACTTATGTAGGATATCAGACCGAATCAGACAATCTAAGATTTGGTCAAAACCGAGTTGAGGCACGAGGAGTCACAAAAATTCCACAGAGGCCCAAGACAACAGGATGTCATAAATCAGACCCTAGCCTCTCTGAAGCAAGCCTAAACCTAAGCCCCTGTCACAGAACAGTTTTCAACATTAACACAAAAGAACACATTGACAAGTCCAAGGAGATTGTAAAATTTTGGGGCAAGTTATCAAGAATAATGGTCAAAAGAGATGACCGCATGACTATCACACGAGAGTAACTACAGTCACAAGCTCCTCGTAAATTGAATTAAATACAAGATTAATAGTAGTTATTAAGATTAATGTCGTTTGGAATTGGTAAAATGTGCTTGGAAAAAAATATGATCAGAATATCAACTTGCATAATTATGCACTGTATTTTTCCTCTTCTGCTGTCGAGGTAATGCAATGAATGTTGTGATTGGTTGTCAAGGCAGAATTTAGCAGCCTCGTCTCTGATTGGCTGGAATTTTGGCATATTGTAACGCTGGGTTGTGTTGAGCAAGCGAGCTGTTGGCATTTAGAGAGCACTGAGGGCGGGCATCAGGTGAGCAAGCTAGTGAAACGTTGCACGCGCAAAAGAGAAGGTCTGCACAAATCCAAAAACTTATTTTAAATGCAAAATTGATTTTCGTGCGCTCGAAATACTTTCTTCTTTGCGAGACAAACCTTTTCCCCACAAAACTCAGTTTGCTCGCTCGCGCGCGTGCAAAACGCACTTTTGCGCTCTCAAAATATCATCTTTCGCACGCAGAATTATGGATAAATAAATGCTACAAGATGCTGACATGCATCCTGACTGGATTATGTTGTCAACTCAAGTAAATAAACCGAGGGAATCAACACTGTGAAGCAAAACAAGAAACATCTGTGGACATACTTCTGTTTTCAACTACAACAGAGCTTTTCATGCCATGATTAACATCTTTTTTTAGCCCTGGGTTAAAGCTAGACTTAACCCTGGGTTAAACAATACTTTTGCGATATACAGACACAATGAAATACTACAGTGTAAGGGCCAAATGTTTTGTGTCAGATATCCAATCATTAATTGCTTCAATGCTTACCTCAAAAAATATTCTCATTTTGAATAAAGTCATCCAAAAAACGTGAAGAATGAAAGTGGCCAATTTATCATAAAGAAAGCATTAAAAGATTAATACCTCAGGCAGACCCCTGTGTATAATATAATTGTGGCAAACAGGGCAGGGCCGAAAGTCGTGGGAATGGAGCGAGGCCGATGGCGCGAGTGCTAATGAGAGACACCTGCATGCCACACATGTCTCGATTTGCAAGAAGGAACTATATAAGAAGGAGGGAGAGAGAGGACCAGGTCTGGGATACTTTGTTTTCTCTGTGCGGCAGTCGGCCATGAAGTGGCTGCCACTTGTATTGGTTATTTTCTAAATGAAGGTTTATGTTTAATTTGAGGAATTGCAATTTGAAATACAATTTCACACGGTTCTCTCTGAATCTAAACAAGCCAAACCCATTTGTCACCAGAGCTGGCGTAGTCTGTTACAGATTACATGATGAAAACTGTAGTTAGTAACGTAATCTAGGTTACTTACTTTAGGCAATGTATTCTCTACTTTTTAGATTACTTTTTTATTAAACTTGTTTAACACTTCCCACAGCAAAAACAGCAAAGTGAAAGAAAATATATTCCTTAAAATGTTTCTTTCTGTCTGTCTGTGTCTTTATGAATATAGTCAAAGTTGCATGGTTTGACACACAGTAGGATTTTTAGAAAGGAAAATTTAAACGAGGAAAAAAAGAAGAATTAGGGAGAATCACTCAATTATGAATAATTTACTGCCACTGTGTGAATAATATATAATCATGTAATCCATAAAAAAGAAATTGTAATCTGATTATGAGCACTTTCACAAGTACTTAATTTTTGGAATCTGATTACATAATCCATAATACATGTAAGCAGCTACTGTTTGTCACAGGGCAGAACGTATTGTAGGAGGCCCAATGTGTCTTTGCATGACAAAATAATTATTACTATAAATAGATAAAAGGCTTAAATTTGAGTCCCTGTTACTGTACAGCATAACTGGTATTCATCCATGTATAAAAATTGTAGAGAAAAAGGGACAAACTTTGCCTTGAGACATGAAAGCCCACCCCATCGCACGAAACACAGCTCTGAAACATATACCAATGGAACGAATTTCTTTCAACGCCATTGTTCTGCGGTTCCCTAAAACTTTGGAGAGGTCCTCTGTGTTATTCAAGAAGACACTGATCAACATTTCTGACACGCAAGTTTCTGTGGGCAAAGAACAGTCTGTACCAAAATCTGTTTTGCCACTACATTCATACATTCGTATCCCCAGTGGTGAATGCTTTCATGCGCTGATTATTAGCGGCACTTCTTGATGCTTTTGGTCCTTTTGTGAAGTCAATCCAGCAAAATGCCTTGCCTTGCCTAACAGTTCACATGGTTTGTGAGCTGAGGGCTAAATGTAGTATAATATTTAGGGCTGCCCCCCAATAGTCGACTAAGTGAAGTAAAGTCATGCATTCTCTGACGAAAGATCGTTAACAGCTGCTCAGATGCGGTAATATACAGTACATCGGCCAGGACATCCAAAAGCTCGCCTATCATTCATCGACCTCAAATATGGATAGATATGGAAGCGCGCGCCGGTGTGATCACTTGCGCTTAAAATGTTTTGGTCGTACAAATAGGAGTTATACATCTTTGTAAGCTTTAAAGACTCTTCTTTTATTTGTGTGAAGTCATAATAGCAAAAATACTTTGTGATTTTGTAAAATAATGAAGCAAGCGGTGCGCGTTCTGCCGTCTCATCACGGTCTTTGAACTTGAGCGCGTCAAATAAAACTAATCTCTGTGTATACTTGCCTCAGGCATAAGAAATATAGGCCTATCTATAGAAAGCGAAATGCCTGCTTTTAAACGAACCAATTCAGATGGAAAACAACTATTCTCAGGTTATGTGATCTGTATGAAACATTATAGGCGCATCCACTGAGGAGATCGTCAATTCATCACTGCAGCCGAAAATACAGCAAACACTGGTTTATCAACGAATTATTAAAATTTTAAGGCAGTCTCCTTGCTTTTTTTCCTGATGCATTCATAGTCATTACTTCTGCCGGTGCGCTGTGTGGCAAACCTTATTCGTGCGCTACATAGGCAATTAAACGCTCATTACTATGATTTATGGTTTATTAATATAAACGTGCGATTAGTCGACTAACCGCTTAACACGAACGACTACTGGTCGACCAGAAAAATCTTTAGTCGAGGGCAGCCCTAATAATATTATTGCTGTCAAGATAACATTGGCTCTTGCTGTATTCTGGGAGCGCAGAGGAGCTGGCAGTAAAATTCACAATTATGAAAACTTCAGTGTTTACTTCATGCCATGCACCGAAAGGAGGGCTGTCAATTGATTAAACCAGGGTTTCCCAAACAGGGGAACTGCAAGGAGTTTGTGGGTTGATAAAAAAAAGCTAATAATTAATTATACTGAATGTAAAATTTAAATAAATAAATGGGCATTTCATTATCAAATATTTATTTTTTATTTTACAGCACAAGTGTGTACTGTATAATAGTAATATATTTCTATTCTAATAATTTTCAAAACATACTACTACTAATAATTGTATACATTTTTTATTATGATTAGTATTATCAACATTAGAGAACCGTGAACATGTAAATATATCAATTAAATTATTAACTTAAAATCGCAGGGTGTAGTTCAAGTAAATACAAGTAATATTACATCTAAGCGGTGTGGCTGATCAAAAAAGTCTGGGAACTCCTGGATTAACCCTATTAATTTCTAACAGTTCTAGTTAACATGCTACCGCATTCGGTTCCTTTTCAAGGAACCCAAACAGGGGAACTGCAAGGAGTTTGTGGGTTGATAAAAAAAAGCTAATAATTAATTATACTGAATGTAAAATTTAAATAAATAAATGGGCATTTCATTATCAAATATTTATTTTTTATTTTACAGCACAAGTGTGTACTGTATAATAGTAATATATTTCTATTCTAATAATTTTCAAAACATACTACTACTAATAATTGTATACATTTTTTATTATGATTAGTATTATCAACATTAGAGAACCGTGAACATGTAAATATATCAATTAAATTATTAACTTAAAATCGCAGGGTGTAGTTCAAGTAAATACAAGTAATATTACATCTAAGCAGTGTGGCTGATTAAAAAGTCTGGGAACTCCTGGATTAACCCTATTCATTTCTAACAGTTCTAGTTAACATGCTACCGCATTCGGTTCCTTTTCAAGGAAAGAAAATAAAATCAGACTATTTAATTATTAGTTTCATGAATTTATGTGGATTCTGCTTAAATGTCACTTATCTCGCACAAATACCAAAAAGCGAAATCACAAAACAGGATGAGGCAGTAAGTCAGTATTTAACATCAAACTGAATAAATGTGGCAACGGTTTAAATAATGAAGTGTTAAAACTTACTGTATTTACCGTATGCGTTAACATGTTAACTGTGACAGCTCTAATTGTATGTGATGGCTGATTCTAAATAAGTCTTCTATACTTCTCTGGAAGACAAAGATGAATTAAATCACGATTGCTGTTCTCAAAACGTTAAGATATGACCCATAGAATGAGCGTCAGTGCGAAGTGTAGAACAGGTGCAGCTCAGTGTTACTCAGCCTCATTGTACGTCACACTTTTTCTTTGGTCATGTCCCAAATGACGCACTTGATATTGACTTGTGGTCTTGTGCTCTTTCCTAACACATGTCTGAGAAGTCCATAAGACTGTAGGATGTCCCATTGATCATTTCATGATTCATAAGGGTTCTCCTGAGGGATCCTTTTTGGCCACAATGTGCCCTTGATGCCCTTTGCCAAGCTTACCGTAACAAAGGACCAACTGACAGTCTTAGTGGCTTGCCATTGCAAGAATTTATGTGGAGGATGACTGCAAAGGTTGAAGGTGGCATTTGAGACAGGACTTTTGTCTCTGATGTTAATAAACTGTCATAATGAAAAAACGTGGCAATAGGACACACACATCTGGCTTGATAAGCCCACAGGATCCTCAGCAGAACAAGCATCACAGGTATGTTGTGGCCTCGCGGTTCTCACGTTCTTTGGCCTGGGCCACAGCCACATTGATGCACTGCAGCCACTCTTCCGCATGCTTCTCATCTTGAGCTTTCAGCACGTAGGTTTTGCTGTCGGTGAAGATCTCAAAGGCTCTGGGCAGCCCGCGGTCACGCCTCTTCTTTGCAACCACCTTAACGCTTTGCACTTTGCTAAGTTCAATTGTGCTGTTGTCCAGTTCATCCTTCTGTGAGTAACAAGAGGGAAAACGCTAATGCTTTACACGCTAACAATCAGGAGGCTTTGCATGGACCACAGCCATGTGCATTGAACCAGTAGTCCAATCAGACCCAACACAAGTTTTTACTCACTTTACTCTGAGGTTCACCTGACGCCAATCAGACTTTTGAGACACTTTATCAGAGGACTTTGCAGAAATAATATACTTTAAAAGAATATACCTACACTCTTAAAAATAAAGGTGCTTCAAAAGGTTCTTCAAGCGATGCCATAGAAGAACCATTTTTGGTTCCACAAAGAACCATTCAGTCAAAGGTTCTTTAAAGAACCATCTCTTTCTTACCTTTTTATAATCTGAAGAACCTTCTTTCGCCACAAAAAACCTTTTGTGAAACAGAAAGGTTCTTCAGATGTTAAAGGTTCTTTATGGAACCATTTAGACAAAAAGGTTATTCTATGGCATCGTGAAGAACCTTTATTTTTAAGAGTGTAAGAGCAACTGAATTTAATGTTTTTGGACAATTAATTGCATGTTAATTTAAATTTAAAGGGAATTTATGAATTTTAAGAGTGCTTTTTGACCCACTTAAGTAGGACTTAAGTACATCTTATATGTAATTTAATAATTGCTTGTATTGTCTTTGAAATACAGTTAAAGTGCACTCAATGTAAACTAAAATATACTTGTATGTCATGTATTTAAATATATTTATAATTACACATTTTTAATGATGAAGTTGAAGTTTAGTACATTTTTTAAATATATTAACAAACTTCCTTATATAGGACACACACATCTGGCTTGATAAGCCCACAGGATCCTCAGCAGAACAAGCATCACAGGTATGTTGTGGCCTCGCGGTTCTCACGTTCTTTGGCCTGGGCCACAGCCACATTGATGCACTGCAGCCACTCTTCCGCATGCTTCTCGTCTTGAGCTTTCAGCACGTAGGTTTTGCTGTCGGTGAAGATCTCAAAGGCTCTGGGCAGCCCGCGGTCACGCCTCTTCTTTGCAAACACCTTAACGCTTTGCACTTTGCTAAGTTCAATTGTGCTGTTGTCCAGTTCATCCTTCTGTGAGTAACAAGAGGGAAAACGCTAATGCTTTACACGCTAACAATCAGGAGGCTTTGCATGGACCACAGCCATGTGCATTGAACCAGTAGTCCAAGTCAGACCCAACACAAGTTTTTACTCACTTTACTCTGAGGTTCACCTGACGCCAATCAGACTTTTGAGACACTTTATCAGAGGACTTTGCAGAAATAATATACTTTAAAAGAATATACCTACACTCTTAAAAATAAGAGCGATGCCATAGAAGAACCATTGGTTCCACAAAGAACCATTCAGTCAAAGGTTCTTTAAAGAACCATCTCTTTCTTACCTTTTTATAATCTGAAGAACCTTCTTTCGCCACAAAAAACCTTTTGTGAAACAGAAAGGTTCTTCAGATGTTAAAGGTTCTTTATGGAACCATTTAGACAAAAAGGTTATTCTATGGCATCGTGAAGAACCTTTATTTTTAAGAGTGTAAGAGCAACTGAATTTAATGTTTTTGGACAATTAATTGCATGTTAATTTAAATTTAAAGGGAATTTATGAATTTTAAGAGTGCTTTTTGACCCACTTAAGTAGGACTTAAGTACATCTTATATGTAATTTAATAATTGCTTCTATTGTCTTTGAAATACAGTTAAAGTGCACTCAATGTAAACTAAAATATACTTGTATGTCATGTATTTAAATATATTTATAATTACACATTTTTAATGATGAAGTTGAAGTTTAGTACATTTTTAAAATATATTAACAAACTTCCTTATAATCAGGAACTTTACATGTTCTTTAGTAAGTCAACACATCAAAATAAGTGTACTTCTTTAAAGCACAACATACATTTTACATGTTAAAACATCATGATTTAAAGGTGCTTTAAAGTAAAACTTTTAATTTTCACAAGGGATGCGGTGCATTTGCATAATACACAACCTTGTGATGAGTAGTCAACTAGACAAACACTATTTCCTGATGGGAAAACACAATGGATGGGGCTTTCGGTTGGAGGATCAAAGCATGCATGTCCTCTCTTGATGGTTCCAGTTCTCTTACTCTATTGTTCTGCCTGTCTCTCAACTTGTTTTAAGAGGCGCTGCACAAGGTTTGCCAGAAATGAGGCTTATCGTTGTTTGTGTCCACCGATGAGAATAAGCACCATTAAAATGAAAGAAAAACTAAAGAATTGCAAGCAAATTAAAGGCATAATAAAAACTCTTCTATGGCATCGTGAAGCACCTTTATTTTTAAGAGTGTAAGAGCAACTGAATTTAATGTTTTTGGACAATTAATTGCATGTTAATTTAAATTTAAAGGGAATTTATGAATTTTAAGAGTGCTTTTTGACCCACTTAAGTAGGACTTAAGTACATCTTATATGTAATTTAATAATTGCTTCTATTGTCTTTGAAATACAGTTAAAGTGCACTCAATGTAAACTAAAATATACTTGTATGTCATGTATTTAAATATATTTATAATTACACATTTTTAATGATGAAGTTGAAGTTTAGTACATTTTTAAAATATATTAACAAACTTCCTTATAATCAGGAACTTTACATGTTCTTTAGTAAGTCAACACATCAAAATAAGTGTACTTCTTTAAAGCACAACATACATTTTACATGTTAAAACATCATGATTTAAAGGTGCTTTAAAGTAAAACTTTTAATTTTCACAAGGGATGCGGTGCATTTGCATAATACACAACCTTGTGATGACTAGTCAACTAGACAAACACTATTTCCTGATGGGAAAACACAATGGATGGGGTTTTCGGTTGGAGGATCAAAGCATGCATGTCCTTCTCTTGATGGTTCCAGTTCTCTTACTCTATTGTTCTGCCTGTCTCTCAACTTGTTTTAAGAGGCACTGCACAAGGTTTGCCAGAAATGAGGCTTATCGTTGTTTGTGTCCACCGATGAGAATAAGCACCATTAAAATGAAAGAAAAACTAAAGAATTGCAAGCAAATTAAAGGCATAATAAAAACTAGATACCGTGACAAGAGGCCAAATTGTCCTCAAAATCATATTAAAAGAGCTTGTGTCATGCCTGATAAAATGAAGACTCTGTCAAGACTTTGCAAAATAAAATTACTGTAATGCAACGCATTGCTTTTCCAAATTAAGATTTACAATCAATCAAGATTTAATGTGCTTACGGCTCTGACAAATGAATTCATTTTTACTAAAAAAGCTTTTGCTGGCTTTCTGTCAGAATACTGCGAGACTGATTGATCTTAGCTTTTTAGTCACTCTTTGTATGCCATGGTTTTGGTTATGAATTCTCTTTTGCACAACCCTAAATGGCTCCAAGTTATATGGACGCATATTAAACTGGGTCTTTGCTTTGTTTAAACACAACAGAGAGATTATGACAAGCCATTTTAGTTTTATTTAGTTCAAGTAAATCCCTTCAAGAGAACGTTTTGGTGAATCTCAAGATTGATCTGATCATCTTCCATAAAGCAGGGCACTAGACTAATACAATTACTAGTGAGCCATTAGCTCCTAGAATAAAACATCTAACAACTGAAATACTTTTTTAGTCACCAGATTACAGAATTGCTCAATATAGATGGTGGTTCAGGAACACTGTTTTTCATGCTCGTAATCTTTTGCAGTGGGTGAGGGTTCACAGGCAGATGCAAGAAGACTAGTTTTCTTTCAAAAAGAGGACATTTGGCCCCTAATTAGAATGATACACTAACTAATTTTTCTGAGGACTTGATTTGATTGAAAAGACATGAATTAAACGATTAGTCAAGCAAAAACTGACATTTTCTCTGCATTCCCTCACTGTCATGACATTCTAAACCCATATGACTTATTTTCTGCCATGGAACACAAAATAAGATTTATGGTCTCCCTGCTCTATTCAGTATATTGAAAGCAGACCAGTGATCAGAGGTAGCAAGCAATACAATAGCTTTGTGTGAGAAACAGACATAAATTTAAGTCATGGTTCACTAATAATCAGTATTGCTCTCAGTTATCATTGTGTTTTTCAAACGTGCTACTTTGCAAAGAAAACGGCATTTGGCATTGATGTCAAACTTTGGGTGACACGTCTAAAGCCTCGTACACACCGGGACGATTATCGCGCGCGCGCTTTTCGCCAACGTTTTTCAATCATTGTGTTTTTCAAACGTGCTACTTTGCAAAGAAAACGGCATTTGGCATTGATGTCAAACTTTGGGTAACACGTCTAAAGCCTCGTACACACCGGGACGATATCGCGCGCGCGCTTTTCGCCAACGTTTTTCAACGCGTCTTTTGTGTTCATACCCAAGCGATTTTTGCTGGCGATGAGCCGAGTGAACGTGCAAATTCACTCCCTGACATTAGATGGCACTTAATGAAAAACAGAAATACACCGGTACACATCGTATCCTATTTGATCTGCAATTCCTCTCCATAACAACTCCCTCTTATCGAGATTTTTGTAGTTGCTGTCGCGTTTGTCATAAAGCCCTTTGTGTTCAGACACCAATGAGACCAGCAGCTCTTCATTCATCTTGCCTCGATGCATCTTCTTGGTCTACTCACTTCCTCTTCGTCGTTAGGTATCAATGTGTGCTTGGCAAGAACGTTTTGTGCTTGAGCGCCACCAAGTCACGTTTTACTGTAAATTCAGCAACTCCAGGCACGTGAACAAAAGCGCCAATCTCATTGGTCGGCCAGTTTTCAAACCAAAAAAACGAGCCCGAGGCGGGTTTTTTTTTTTAAATGATGCTTTTGCACGCTTTTGTGTGCAAACTCACATTGGCGCCCTTTGTTTAGTCACGAGGCGTTAAACGTTGGCGATAATCGTGCACGATAATCGTCCTGGTGTGCACAAGCCTTAAGAGTGGCATGAAAAGAAAGACTAAGCAAACAGCTTAAATTTTGGTTTGGTTCTTACACAGGGCTATCATTTGATTTCTGAAGATCTGGAACATACCGCACACGTTGTATGGAATATGTTTGGAATAAAGTTTTGAAAAATTAAGATTTTTAAAATGTTTTTAAAGTGTTCTATGCTCACCAAGGCTGCATTTTTTTTTTTGCAAAATACTGTAAAAACTGTAATAAATTGTTTTTTTTGCTGCTTAATACTTTTGTGGAAACGGTAACATTTTTCTTTTTTTTTACAGAATTCTTAGATGAATAGAAATTTCAATGAACAGCATTTATTTGAAATATAAATCTTTTTTAACATTATAAATGTCTGTACTGCCACTTTTGATCACTTTAATGTGTCTCTGCTAAATAGTATTATTTCTTTTTATAAATAAATATATATTTATTTATTGATTCATTAATTAAATTTTTTTTATCTTTTAATCCAAACTTTTGAAAGGTAGTGAATGCACATTTCCACAAAAATATTGCACAGCAAATAAGGGTGAGTAAATTATTTTTTTTAAGAGTCTTGACAGTAAGGAATGCATAAATAATACATTCTGAGGTCTTGTGAATAAGACACTTACTGATTTTCCTCTTCGGAAGAGAAGCTGGTTGCCGGCGAGGGTAAAATAACGTGTTTTCCACCTTTTGATGAACTTCCAGCGCACTTGTTTCTCCTTCAGCTTCCCCTCAATGAGTGGCTGGCCGTCCTGGTTAACAACTGAGCAGAAAGTGTATAAATGAAATGGCAATGTTAAAATAGAGGGAAGAATCACAGAAGTTGTATGGACTATTGTAATTGTGTTTTGATGAAATGAGGATGTGAGTAAATGATTAATTGAAATGTATAGGACAAGCCCTATAACATTAGCCCCTTTCACAGAGTAATGCCAGCAAATTACAGCAAAATTACCAGAATGACTTTTCCGGTAAATACACAAAATCAGCTGTTCACAAAAAATAAATAATAATGGTGTTCTGGCTTTTTACTGTTAAGAGACCATTCACACATCAGCACCAAAACACCAGTAAACTCTGTGATGCCAGTTATCAGAAATTATGCCGTGTTTTTAATTCATTAGCTCAGATGAGGAGAAGTGCTTAAGTTAACTTTCCAATTTAATAATTTGTTACTTTTGCATGATAGGTGTAAGAACATGTTTCTGTGCTTAAAAACACAAGACGCCACACAATAGTATAAAATATCCAAAACTGATTTACCGGTATTTCTGAAAAGGTCCTGTTCACACATTACCTCTAAAGCGTAATTTACCAGTAAAGATAGCATGTGTAAAATGGGCTATATTTGTCATGACACACACACCGGGGAGCACAGGAACGAACGCGGAGACGAGGAATAAAGTACATTTCAAAGATTTAATAAACAAAAGCTGGGAATACTGAATACTGAGACACGGGATACACTGAGGACATGAAATGACATTCGACGGATCAATAGAACTAAATGGGATTAGGAACAGGAAAACACAAATTTGAGGAAAACACAACAGGAGACATGGAACAAAGTCTGACAATATTCTGCCCAAAGAAAATAGGGCAGAATTTTAGAGTGCTAAGTCACTCTAACAATACTCTTCACTCACACAGCCATCCTCTTCTGGACCTACTCCATGCTATTTACTAAGTTTTCTCATTAGACGAACAAAAGAGCGTTGCTCAGTGTTTACCACCACGTTGAAATATCTGGTGTGGTTTCAGGCATGGTGAATATTTTGTCTCCTGCCTGTGTTTGCTGGGTCTGTCTGAACTACACAAAGCGTTTCACAGATCTCTCATGGGTCTATTTCAGTTAAACAGGAAGCTGTGTTATAGCCCTTCCAGGATGGTACAAAGCAGCCCATTGTCTGAGTTGAGAATGAGAATGAACAGATGAGAATCTGCAGCGCTTTGATAGCCCACCTAATATTAAGCAAGACTGATCTTTGATAATCACCTAACTATGATCCCAACTGGCAGAAGTTAAGTCCATGGTGTATCAGAGAACACTGGAGCGCTGATTAACACCGGGGTAAAAACTTACTGCCCTTGACCTGCCTCAGTTCCCTGGAAAACAAAAAAGGGCCATTTGTTTTTTGGTTAAATTAGGTTAGTATAATAATTTAATTCTGGGATATAAAAGACACATTCTAGGAATAGGGTACAAAACAGGGCCTGAAAGTCTTAAAAATGAAGTCATTTTCTTTTTCAACAAACTCAGTAAAAGAAGGCACTTAACCCTCAGAAAATGTTGTTCTGTTATTAAAATTAGTTAAATAAAAAAAACATAAAACACATTGAATGCCAATTCAACAGATTATATCAAAACAATGATGTATTGGGTGTCGGATACACTTGAAGAGGTACAGCCAAAATCATCATTTCAAATGGCAGAACAAATGAGAAGCCTTAGAGGAGATAATTGTTGTTCTGGTTATTTCAACCCAAAACTTTCTGCAGATGTCTGCATTACAGTGCTGGTAATGAGTGATAATTTAATTAGTGTGTGTTTATCCCATGAGCAACATAATAATTCTCTATTATGAATTCCAAATAAATTCTTTTTCATTTTACTTAGATTTTTTTTACTCTCTCTGCCTTTCTTGAATCAAAGCACTTGTATGTGTGTGTGTGTGAGAACATGAACAAAACAAATGTAAATCCCAGAATATTAAAAGCATCTGCGCTGCATTCTGCGTTGCATTTGTTTGGCTAGAATGATTTCTGTTCTCTGTTTGTTTTATTGTGTATATGATACTGTACTTAAAAAGGAGTTTGTTTGTGATCATGGAAGTGAAACATGCACTATGATAAGAGCAGAGGCCAAAACTGATGCTCGGCAAGTCCAAAGCAAGATAGATCCTCAATTGTTTGAGGAATTTTGGTCTTTCTGAAATTACACAATGTCCCAAAGCATTGTGGCGGTTTGTGACGTGTGAGAACATGAACAAAACAAATGTAAATCCCAGAATATTAAAAGCATCTGCGCTGCATTCTGCGTTGCATTTGTTTGGCTAGAATGATTTCTGTTCTCTGTTTGTTTTATTGTGTATATGATACTGTACTTAAAAAGGAGTTTGTTTGTGGTCATGGAAGTGAAACATGCACTATGATAAGAGCAGAGGCCAAAACTGATGCTCGGCAAGTCCAAAGCAAGATAGATCCTCAATTGTTTGAGGAATTTTGGTCTTTCTGAAATTACACAATGTCCCAAAGCATTGTGGCGGTTTGTGATGTACTCAAATGTGCTCTCCCATCACAAGTGAAGTACAAACCTACAGTAAACAGTATATTATACTAATTTGGATGCAGCTCATTTGGAAATCTGGATTTTGACAGTTCCAATTCACACGTAGCACAGAAAGCAAAAACAGCCAATGGGAAAAGAGTCTGAGTAAGAGGTTGAAAACAACACATAAGATAAAGGTTCAAGAGTTTATCCGGGGTTTTGAAGAGGTTAAATTATATATATATATACATAGAGAGAGATTATATATATAGAGAGAGAGAGAGAGAGAGAGAGAGAGAGATACTATATAGTGAAAAGGTCACTAAAGAGTATATGTTCATGAGGTTTAAATAATTTGGGTTTAACATTTGACAAAATAAGACATGTAAATTTACAAAATTAGCTAGATTAGAGATTAAATTCTGGTTTTAATGGGTATTTCTATTTAAAGTTCCCGTTGGAAATTTCGGTCAATTTAGGTACAACTTTATATTAGGTGTCTTTAATTACCATGTACTAAAAATAAAAATAATAAAAAAAAACTTATAAAATGAATACATGAATGAATGTTAGGTACAATGTACCTATTACGTTACTGTTGAATTGCAAAACACAGTTACACTTTATTTTAAGGCATCCTTGTTACAGTGTAATTATACAGTACATTTAAGTACCGAGTAATATTAATGTACTTACTATATGGTTAGGGTTTGGGTTTAGAATTAGGGTTTGGGTTGCGTGCATGTAATAATTAGGGGTGTAACGATCCATCGATCAAATGTCTAACGATACGATGTATCGATGCCACGCGTAAAATATCAATACCTGTAGTATAAATAGGCACCTTGTTATGGCACTGTCCATATTTTCAAGCAGTGTCCGTCTATGCATTACCGGCAATGTGTGCGTTCTCGTCCAAACTCATGTGTCAGGACTAGGGCTGGACAATAATTCAATATCAATATGTATCGCGATATAATTTTTTTCAATAACGGTGATATGATTTTTAAACTCATTTCCGATATACATTACCAGTTTTTCCAATACATTGATTTATTTGTGGCGTTTGACTTCCTTGAATAAACATGGGCACTACATGTTTCAAAATCAAAACGTGGCGCAGGTGTTTTATATGAATGTATCTCTGAAGGGAACCGACTGTCTTCAGAAAAGTTTCGATGACATTTTCATTTTTATCTGATAAAGTAGCGTTTGTGAGCGGAACTGCTTTGATTACAGCTGTTACTGGGGAAACTGCTAGTTTTATCACTCTAAAAGCGCCTCCTGCTGGCAGAGAATGAATTTGCATTTTCAATAATAAGCAACATTTCAAGTTTTTGTTGTTGTTCAATTTTTGATATATTTTTTTGTTTTCTGCAGCGACTCGGAGCACTTTTCATACCCCTTTTTTCTGGCTGAAACACATTTGTGTCAATCTATAAGAATAATCAGCCTACACTACGAGACAAGAGTTTTTAAACTTTTTAATGTTAAGTTTTTTTATTTTTTTGAACTTTTTAAAGATTTTAATGTTTTTTTTTTTTTAAAGAATTCTCTTCTGCTCACCAAGGCTGCATTTATTTGATCCAAAGTACAGCAAAACCTGTACAATTTTGAAATATTTTTACCACTTAAAATGGCTTTTTATTTGAATAGATTTTAAAATGTAATTTATTTCTGTGATCATAGCTGAATTTTCAGCATCATTACCCCAGTCTTCAGCGTCACATGATCATTCTAATATGCTGATTATCAATATTTAAAACTAGGGATGCTCTGATCGATCGGCATCGGCCGATAATCATATTTTATGACTCGATCGGTACTCACCAACTTGGCCGATCTCAGGAACCGATCGCAATTTGATGACGTCAACACGTGGCGACGTACATGATGCGTGGGTATATAAATGATTTTGGCGTACTGGTATCGGTATCAGGCCCAATACTGAGCTCCTGTACTCATACTCGTACTTAAAATGCCCCGATACCAAACGCCGATACCACACAACATGTAATAAGTGCATTAACTCCGAGTACTTGTCATATTTTATTACCATTTTCTAAACTATAGCGAATAAACTGTGATAATGTGAGAAATGTTGAAGGTGTCAGAATAAATTTTGGTTTGACTGTATCTATTTGATAAATTAAGTTAACCAACTAACATTATTCATACTCTTTTGGTTTCTGTACCCAATATTTAAAAAAATGTACAAATGCAATAAAAATATCGGTATCGGTACTTGGTATCGGCAAGTACTAAAAATAAAATTATCGGTATCGGGCGAGTACTGGAAAAAGTGGTATCGGTGCATCCCTATATATTTTGGTTGCATTTGAGAGTTAATAAAAATGTAGATGGTTGTTTAAAATAGGTACATAATGTCAAAATATTGATAAATCAATCGATATATTCCTGAATCGAATCGTATCTAAATCGTATCGTAGAATTTTTTGATATCGGCAAATATCGTATCGCTGGGTATGAGAATC